AACCCGCCCGCCTGCCTCCCTCCACTCTCTGACTCCGAGGCCTCTTTGCTTCCCTCAGCTCTGATTTTCCCGTTGTCTGCTTTGTATCCCATACTGCTGGTTGCCTGCCATTGCCTTCTTTTGTCCAGAACCCCGGTGGTTTGCCAGTGTGGAGGCCTCGCTTTGTTTTTCTGCCATGTGTGGTACGGAGACTTTTCTGGGAGTCTTCTTGCATCTAAGAAATGACCTCACCTTGCCCTTGAACTCCATCCACTATGCAGTGTGTGACACCTGGTCCCTGGTAATAATGACCACACCAAGGACAACAGAAAAAAAAATAAAAGAACCTGGGTGGTCACACTGCACTGCATGGCGGATGTAGCCAGCCTTGAAAGAACTCTATCTCCCGACTTCCTGCCTGTGAAACCACTTTCATGGTTATGGTACTTTGAGAGAAGGTGCCGTTTCTATGCATCTGAAAGAAAGCATCTTGACTTCATTACTTTCCTTTGGAGGTTCTGTGCTGGTCAGGTTTTTGTCACCTTGACACAAACTGGGATCACCTTGGAAGAGAAAACCTTAGTTGAAGAAATCACATATGTCATATTGGCCCATGGGAATGTTTGTGGATCATTTTCTTGATTCACGACTGTTGGGGAAAGGCTTGCCCACTGTGGGGTGTAACCCCTGCGCAGGTGGCTCTGGATTATATATATATATATATAAAAAAAACAGAATGAAACCATGGGGAGCAAGCCAGTGAGCAGCACCCATCCATGGCCTCTGCTTTAGTTCCTGCCCACAGGGTCTCAGCCTGAGTTCCTGCCTGATTTCCCTCGGTGATATACTATGACCTGGGAGTTATACAATGAAACAAACCCTTCCCTCCCTGAAGTGTGGGTTTTGGTCAGTGCATTATCACAGCAAGAGAGAAACCTAACTAGGACAGTTTCTCATCCGTCCTTCATCTTCTAGAATCACCAGCGTCTCCCACATTTCTCCCACACCACCATCTGTACATGTTCATCTGTCTTACCCAGTTTCTGTCTCTGTTCACCAGACACAGGGAACTTCTCAGGGGACCTGACAGCTCTCACTCACTCCTCTCTCTCAGACTTTCACAGCCCCAGGTGGACCCTACACACCCTGACAGGATGAATGCAAACTAGGTCAAACCTCAGACTCTCTCTCACCAGCTGGGATTCAGGAGCAAGGGTGTCCCTGACTGCAGCTCAGAAGGAGACAATGTTGCCAGGCTTTTCCTCTGTAAAAAGAAGGGAGGCTAAATGAGGAGGAAACATCGTCACCAGCTCAGACAGCAGGAGCAGCTGCCAAGGCTCACACATTTTGCACTCTGACAGCCTGCTCTAAGACTCTCCAACAGAGCTCTGTGCCCGAGGTTTACAAATTCTTCGCATAGAATTATTTTATCACATCTTCTCACCCTGCCTTTAGATACTTTGAAGTGAGTGTCTCAAATCTGCAAAGCAAAGAACCCTGATAAAAACCATGGTCACCCCAACTCAAGTGCTTTGCAAATTAAGTCAACCTAACACATTTCTCTTAGCAAGCCATGGTATAAAATCAAACAACACTGCTGTTATGTTCAAGGAATGTTGTGCCTTCTTTTCCATTGCAAAGTAAGGAAAGTAAATGCTATGTTTCTCTAAAACATAACTAACCACTTCCCCTGGAATTATCCCACCACTATGACCTCTGGTCCCATGCCCCTCGCACATTCACTAAAGATGATGAGTTTTGGGTTCAGGTGGTTGCTAATCACCCACAGGCCAGCCTGGGTCTTCAAGGCCTGGGCTGGTGGGAAGGCATCCACAGGCCAGCCTGGTGCCTTGAGGTGGGTGACATTATGATGAGCGAATGTGTGGTGAGGAAATGGGAGAGAAAGGGAAGCAGAGCGGTTCACGGGATGTGGAAAGAGGCGAAACGGAAGAAATGAAGACGGTGATGCAGGCGGCCTGATTGACACCTGGGGCCATGGTGATGTCCAGGACCAGGCTGGGTTCACCTGGGGCCATGGTGATTGATGTCCAGGACCAGGCTGGGTTCGTGGTCCTACCACAGCCAGGGTCTGTGCTGACATCTGTGACCCATGCTGCCACCAAAGGCCACAAGGATGCCCAGTGACTGGGCTGCCACCTGTGACCATGAAGGTGTCTGAGGACCATGCCACACAGGGGTCATACTGACCTAAGTGTCCTGTGCTGACACCATACCTGAGATGTCTGGAACAGAGCAGCAGCTGAGGCCCGTGTCTTGGCCCTGCTGCACCCAGGGTCTAAGTTGATGTCTGTGGTTCCTGTTACCACCAAAGGCTCCGGGGATGTCTGGGGTCTGGCCTGCCATCTGAGGCCATGTTGGTGTCCGAGAGCCATGCCAACTGTAAGTGTACCACGCTGATCTGAGTGCCCTTCTCTGCCACCTGGAGCCATGGTGTCCTCTGGGCCTGGGACGCTGCTGAAGGCCATGTCTGGGTCCATGGCCCTATCACAGCCGGGTCTGTGTTAACATCCACAGCCCATGTTACCACCAAAGGTCACATGGAAGCCTGAGTTCTGGGTCACAACCTGTGGCCTTGTGGATGTCTGAGGGTTCTGCCACTACTGGAGCCATGCTTATCTGAGTGGCCTGTGCTACCACCGGGGACCATGGTGTCATCTGGTACCAAGCTGCTATAGAGGGTCATGTTTGGGTCCATGGCCCTACAGCAGCCAGGGTCTGAGTTGATGTCCATGGCTCCTGTTGCCATCAAGGGCCGTGTGTATGCACAGGGTCTGATCAGCCACCAGAAATCATGCGTGTTGGTGTCCAAGTGCCATGCCAATATGAGTGGCCTGAGCTGCCACCTGGAGCAATGGTGACATCCAGGCCCCAACTGCTGCTCAGGACTATGTCTAGGTCCATGGTCCTGCTGCAGCTGGGGTCTGTTTTGAAGTCTGTGGCCCATGTTGCCACCAAAGGCTACATGGTAGCCTTGTTGGTGTCCAAGGGCCCTGCTGCCTCCAGAGCTGTGCTGATCTGAGTGGCCTTGATTGCCACCCGGAGCCAAGGTGTTATCCAGCTCTGAGAAGCTGCCAAGGGCCTTGCCTGAGTCCATGGTCCTGCTGCAGCTGGGGTCTGTGTTGATGTCTTTGGCCCGTGTTGCCACAGGGAGCTATAGGAGCCATTAAAGACAAAATCACACCCTTTGCTGGCCCTGGCCCTCAATGGTCAGTGTAGTGAGAGAGTTGGCCCAAACCTTCACAGGAGAGCTGCCCATACTCAAGAGGCATGGCTCCACTCCTCACCCTAATGGCATGGATACAGGAGAGCTGGTTCTGCCCCTCAACTGAAGGGAGCACTCCAGTGGCCTGGACCGACCAGCTCACCTGCCACCCAGGCCCACAGCCAGACCTTGGGTTGGCCCACACTATCATCTACTCCATCTATGACCTGATAAGAGTTTGTGAAGAGACTGGTCCTATGGAATGGCACCTGAAGGATCTCCATGACTCCGGGCAGCCACAGGATGTCCAAGAGGAGTTTCAGTGAGGGCCCAGTGACAATGGTATACCAGAAGCCAGAGGCCTTGAGCAAGACCAGTGGCTCATTGCTGTGGGAACACCAGACCTTGAGCAGAGACCCACTTCCCCTTCTGCCTGGGAGTAGGCAGCTATAAGACAATGTTTAGTAAAAACATGTTTACTAAAAACGATACAATAAGTTCCTGGCCACTTCCCCTTCTGCCTGGGAGTAGGCAGCTATAAGACAATGTTTAGTAAAAACATGTTTACTAAAAACGATACAATAAGTTCCTGGAAAAGGCCTTCCCACGGAAACCGCCCTGACCTCGACCTTGTCCAGAGACTAACCGCACCTTCAAAAACCCACACACATCCACCTCTGGTGTCAGAGCAGAACCAGCGAGGGTAGAGGAGAGAGCAGAAGCTTCTCTGGTGGGAGCTTTTCTTAGGAGGTTTTCTTGAACCTTTTTGGAGCCTGTTTAAAGTTCTCTTTATATCATTGAACGAGTCTCTGTGTTTTCAATACCCGACACCCTCCGCACGTTCTCGGACACAGGCCGCGCAGCAGATGTGACACATTGCAATGAACATTTGCAAGTAAAGCTGATTGGACAACAGGGTATACCATGTGATACACCACATCTCTCAATACCACTGGGACAAAAGAAGAGGTTTTGGAGAGTCGGGAAAGATGGAGGAATGAAGAGGCTTGTCTGTTTTTGTTTTGCTTTGGTTCTGTTTTAATTTTTTTGAATTTTCTTTTGCGGGGGGGGGGGGGATGCTGCAAGGGTGACAAGTAGATATGGGGGGACTTAGAAATGAGTGGAATTAAGACCACGATTCCCAAAGAAATTATGTTTTAAAAAAGGTGATTACTTGTGGATTATCATGTCTGTTTTGTTGTTTTGGTTTGATTATTTTTGTTGTTGTTGTTTTTCGAGAAAGGGTTTCTCTATAGCTTTGGGGCCTGTCCTGAAACTCACTCTGTAGACCAGGCTAGCATGGAACTCACAGAGATCCTCCTGCCTCTGCCTCCTTAGTGCTGGGATTAAATGTGTGTGACACCATCTCAGCTGAGCTTCTGGAGTACAATCAAAGTGAGGGGAGGAGCAAAGGAGTCAAGACCATGGGGAAACCCACAGAAGCAGTTGACCTGAGCTAGTTGGTGAGAGATCACTGACTCAGGTCTGACAAATGGGGAACCTGCATAAGACAGAACTAGACTCCCTTCATATAGGTGACACTGGTGTGACTGGGACAATATATGAGGCCACTGGCAGTGGGTCCAAGATCTAACTCTAATGTACAAACTGACTTAGTGGAGCCCATTCTATATGGAGAGACACCTTTCTCAGTCTAGACACAGGGGTGTGGGGGTGGAGAGGAGCCTTGGTCCTGCCTCAATGAGACAATGGGACAGACTTAGTAGACTTCCTAGGGGAGGCCTCACCGTCTCTGCGGAGCAGATGGGAGGTGGGGGGATGGGGATAGTGAGAGGAGAGGAAGGAGGGGGAACTCAATAAAAAAAAGACCTAGAAACAAGAAAAAATGATGAGTTTTCAGAGCCCCGAGAAAAAGACAAAAAGAGGACAACAGGACTGAACAATCCCATATAGGACATAGTTGTCACACTTTAAAATTATTATAACTTGTGCTGGTGAGATGGTTCACCAGCCGGGGTACTTGAAAAGCCTGACCACCTAAGTTTGATCCCTAGGAAGCACACGATGGAAGGAAAGTGCCCACTCCCACTCATGAGCCGTGACATACACATGCCTACATGGGCACACATGAAAATACAATGAAAAAATTTTATAATGGGATAATAAATTCAAAATAGTACAAAGAGGTGCTATACATACATATACGTGTGTGTGAGAGAGAGAGAGAGAGTGTGTGTGTGTGTGTGTGTGTGTGTGTGTGTGTGATTCTATTTCCTTTAAGTAATAGTCCCTCAATTTCTTCTGGCTTTGGAAACAACTGGACTTACGAGCATCTGGGAAGCAGCCCCGCCCTCCCCATAGGAAGAATAGTGCACCAGTCACCAGAAGCTCCCTTCCTGATACTTAGCAGAGTGAGGGGAAGACCAAGCACTACCTGGGCCTTCCACCTGAGGTCTGGACCAGCCTGAGGCTGTGGTCTGCTTACCTTCCTGGCTCTCCAGCCTCCCACTGTTCCCACAAGCTAGCCTGTTTTCCCCCCAGTGGATTTTCTTTCTGACTGGTTTAGTTAAAGGCTCTTCCTGCTCAGACCAAAACATCCTAATCAATACGACGTGAACTTTAAACGCTTCACCTTACAGAGAAAAATAAGATGTCCTCGTTATCTAATATTTAAGAGATGCCTTTAAAGAACCCTTCATGGAAACCACACAAAGAAAACTACTGTGGATGTTTTGGCATATTTTTTCCATTAATAAATAATATGCTTGCTCTTACTGTGCAGAGAAAGAAAAAAATCTTGTTCATTAAACCTTCTGTTTGCCAGTGCCCAGAAACAGAGCAGAGAAACCCTTCAACAGAATGGGAGCCTCTTCCAGGTCCTTTCTCAGACTGCGCCCTCATTGCCCAAACGTCCCGGGGTGGCTTCCTTCCCAGTCTGCTGCATTCATAGGAGGCAGACAGCTTGCATATGCCCTGTATTTCCAACCTCATTCCCACACAGCTTTGAAATGCCATTTCCCACACCACAGACTTCGCCTAGCCGTCACAAACGTTTTCCCACGTTTAATGCAATCTAACTCTTTACGAAGCCTGCTCCATTTAACTCTGGGCATGCTAATTGTAGCCGGTGATTTCTCCTGTGACCATTGATTTTTATTTACCTCCAAAACTTTTGCTTCTGGGGCTGGAGAGATAGACCACTGATAAAGAGTGCTTGCTGCTCTTGCAGAGGACCCAAGTTCAGTTCCCAGCATCCACATGACAGCTGACAAGGATCTGTATGGTGGTGTGAAGGAAAATGGCCCCCAAAGGGAGTAGTACCATTAAGAGGTGTGGCCTTGTTGGAGTGGGTGTGGCGTTGTTAGAGGAAGTATATCACTGTGAGGGTGGGCCTTGGGGTCTCCTTTGCTCAAGCTTCACTTAGAGTGACTCTGACACTATTTCCTGTTGCCTGCAAGGTGCAGGACTCTCGGCTACTTCTCTAACACCATGTCTGCCTGCATGCCACCATGCTCCCTTGCCATGTTCCCCACCATGACATGGGACTGAAGCTCTGAACTGTAATTAAATGCTTTCCTTCATAGGAGTTGCCCTAGCCATGGCAAAGGATAAACAAAATCTTTGAAAACAGAACTCTGCTTCTGTGACACATGACTTTCCAATGCAACTGTTGTGTGGAATATCAGTCTAACAGGCAAAGATGTGCTGCATTTGTTTATGTTTGGAATATTTGTTTAACTATGTAAGGAAATGTTGCGTTTGTTTATGTAAAGGTGTGTTGCTGTTTTACCTTGCCTGCCTAAGGAACCTGACTGATCTAATAAAGAGCTGAACAGCCAATAGTGAGGGAGGAGGTAGAGGCAGGACTTCCAAGTGGAGAGAGTAAGCAGGAGGAGGAATATAGGCTCAGGGGAGAAAGAAAAGGAGACAACTGGAAGGCTCCAGGGTCAAACAGGCAGACATGGAGGAAAGTAGGACCTACAGAATGAAAGAAAGGTTAAAAAAAAGGCAAAATATAGATGAACAGAAACAGATTAAATTAAGTTATAGGAGCTAGTTGGACAAGACTAAAGCTAATGCCAAGAATTCATAACTAATAATAAGTCTCTGTGTCTTAATTTGGGAGCTGGTTGGCAGCCCAAAGAAAATTTCAACTACACAACTGTAATTACTGACCATTGAACTTGGTGTCTAAAAACAGGAATGGGTATTAGCAGACACATCAGACGTCTGTTCTGGTTTTATTATTCACCATCAGTTGACTGACAGCCAACATTTACTGAGTACACAGCCCATGAGGGTATGTGTGCCCAGTCTGGTCTAGTGATGCACGCCTGTAATCCCAGGACTCAATGGCAGCACCATCCCCACACAGATAACACATAGCCAGGGCTCCTGACTGAGCCAGGAACTTGGAGAAATAAAAGCAAACTCATGGGTCAGAATGAATGAATGAATGAAGTGCAGCATGCAGGGTGCCTGTGGCTAATGATCGGGATGGAGTTATATTAAAAACACCTCTTTCGCTCCTGCTTTCCTCCCTTATCTTCTCTCATAGCAGCATTTACTGAATACAACTACCAGGAACAAAAACCGCATCAATCAAGGCTGCCTTAGAGCCTGTTGATTTGAATGAGGTAAAGACTGAAAGAGTGAATTTTAATTTTTGTACTTACCTACTAGGTGGTAGCTGCTGTGGAAAACCCTTCAGTGGTTCCCCAGGTTGTTATAGAGGATGCCCAGACACTCCAGAAATTCCAGTCTTGGGCTCCTCTCTAAGAACTAAGGATAAGAAGCCAAACAAACAGTGACATCATTGTTGATCACTGACCATCAATCAAAGGGTAGAAATAATCAACTGGCCATCAACAGGTAAATAAAATGCTATATATTATCATATAACAAAATTATATGTCACATAATTACATATGTGCAACTTTGATGATTGGTTTTAACATCAACTTGCCACAAAGTAAACATACCTGAGAAGAGGAACCATCAATCGACAGGCTGCCTCCATCAGATTGGCCTGTGGACATATCTATGGGACATTTCCTTGGTTGCCAATTGATGTGGGAAGGCACAGTCATTGTGGACATTACCATCCTTGGGCAGGTAGGTCTGGGCTGTGGATAATGGTAGATGGATATAAGCCTGGAAGGAAGACAGTAAACAGCCTGATACATAATTTACCATAGAAGCAAAGTCTGGTGACAAACTGAGATACAGTTCAAGACAGAGAAATAAGTTGATCTCGCAGTTCAAATGGAGTAAAAATGTGATGTGCACGACATGTGTTCTACAGCTGACTTGTGTGTGTCTTCACTCTGGGAAATCAAATAGAATTGAAAACTAATTAAGAGGTGGTTGCACATAAAAAGATGCTTTACCCCAGGGTTTACTCCAGCATTCTTTAATGCAGGAACTGCCCCCTACTATAACGTAATCAATCGCTAATTGTTCCTTAGACCCCCAAGGAAGGCTGTTGAGAATAGAAGCATTCTTTGGAAGGAGGAACTAGGAGGCCACAAAAACAGGGGCCCTGGACACTGGGCCACTCTAGGCAGTGTCATCAGGCAGCCCTTTCTGTCCCCTCTGCTCTGTAGGAGGCACTGAGTACCCCCCCATCGGTTGATGAGAGCAGGGCCGCCTTGCTTGTCCCTGCAATGATTCAGTGTCTTCTCCAATACAAGGCAAGAATCGGGCTGGGTCTGTATGGTGCTGCCTTGCCAGTATCCTGCACATGCTCTGCACAATATTGTTTACATATATTATTATAAAGAAGTATAACTTACCAAATGAATTAAAAGTTTTAATAGAAATGCCAGTGGAAGGTCCCATAAAAATGGCTATAAGTCCACTCAGGAATTCTAATATATAGAAAATCTACTTAAGAATTCAAATGAGCCGAGCAGTGGTGGTGCATCCCTTTAATCCCAGCACTTGGGAGGCAGACACAGGCAGATCTCAGTGAGTTCGAGACTAGCCCGGTCTACAGAGTGAGTTCCAGGACAGCCAAGGGTACACAGAGAAACCCTGTCTCAAAAAAAAAAAATTCAAGTGATACAAACAATTTTGTACTTATTTACTTGTTTATCTTTTAAAGACAGAGTCTTGTGTAACCGTCCTTATCAACCAAGGGTGATCTTGAACTCCTGACTCTCCTGCTTTTACCTCCCAAGAAAAGGGATTACAGTGCACACCACCACACCCAGCTGACATGTAATTTTAGAAGAATACACCTCGAAGCATGAACTACAGAAATCTAATCTTGGGTCTCTCTTCCCTTTGCCTACAAAAGGGACATGTTTTCCACAGAATTTTTAACGTGGTCCTGGACCCTTACTACTGGATTCACAGTAAGTACAGCTGACAGCATGAATGACAAGGCAAAAAATAGCTTGCGGTACTTTTCATTTTTTACAAGTGTGGGAAGCATATTAAACCAGCTGCTGATTAAGAATGTGCATGTTTTGACTTGCATATGAGTCAAATTAACATACATAAACCCAACATCTTCACACCACTAGCGTAATAGCAGTAGCTAATATTCGGTATTTTTTTCAAATCCATCAATTCCAGAGTGACATGTTTAAGTTACTAGATATAAAATACAAAGCAGGTTATGATCAAAACCTGACTTTTGGTTTTTATCTCAATTCAATTACTTATCTTCTATAAAAAATTAAAAAGGCATAAGATTGTTGAAAAAAACTTGAGTTTCATATTTACTCTAAAAATACTTAATTACCCGTGGAAACTGAAGTCAGAGGCTCAGAGCAAGAATTAGCCATCCCTCAGTTTGGTGAATTAATGCTAAGGCAAATATTGTATGTTGAACCCAGTACCCTCGTCTCTTCTGCAGCCCCAGAAGTGATGGTGCTGTCAACGTCCAGGTTCTGTGACATCACTGTCTGCCGACGCCTCAGCTCTAACTGCTCCTTCATCACCTCCCTCTCTGTGACAGTGTCTGGGCCAGGAAGAGACTGGGTGAACTGGAGAAGCACTCTGTAGAATGGACACTAATGGACCAGGCTGCCATTTGGGGAGGAGGAACCCATCCAAAGTGCATACCTGGGACAGAGTATAACCAGGTTGGAGCCAAGACAATTAGAAGGGAGTCCAGTTTCTGTTACTAAAAGACATCTTGTCCCTTTGCTTAACTCGTCCACCCCTCGGAACTCAGAAGGCCCCAGAAAACCTCCCTGGGACCAAGAATGTAGTCCGTGTGGACCAGCCTCTCCTTGTACCCTGCTGTCAATATGCCTCTGACACTTTAAAACTGGCACTATATAAATACCAAGAACTTTGGTTCCTGGCTCTTTGCAGAACTGCTGGCGTGGAGCCTCAGCAATCTTTATAGTTTTTCTAACTTCGTGTCATGGCAAAGCATTCTCTAGGACAATTGATATAAACACAGATTTGCAGGCCCTTTCTCTGGGTGCTTTTATTTATGCATCTGTTTGGGATCCAGGAATCTGAATCTTTAACAAGTGCCAATATACTGCTCTTCAGTTAAGAACTCTGGGAAATCCCAAGCCTATGAAATCTTCAAAGTGCTCCCCCAAGTCTCCTGGTTGGAAGTTGTTCTTCATTATCTAAGCATGTGGATTACTGAGACAAAGAAAGCTTTGTCTACAGATATCAGGAAGCTTTTCCCACAGGACAGTCTATGTACATCCAGGGCCTGTGGTCGTTATTGGGGTCATATACCTTTGCCACGAGCACCAAGCAATACGTGCAACCAGGTGAGCTGCTTCTCAGTACACAGGATGCTGAGCAGCCAAAGAGTCTGAGATCCACGAAGGTGGAGGGGGATGGAAAGTGACCCAAAGTGGAGGAGAGAGGTAAGGATAAAAAGCCAAGCTGGAATCTAGAAACCAATGCATATGTATTTCACTCCACAGCTGCTTTGGCTCTTGATATAAATCAGACAGAGAAGGTGGGAGAGGCAGAGAGAAAATGTAAACAGCTGGGAAAATTCAATCCTGTGTTAAATATGAATTTTCAGATATTCCAGACTGAATATACTAGTTGAATTATTCATTTTCTTGACTTCCAATTTTATTTTTAGTAGTACTATGTGAACAAATTTGAGTTTGGAGACACCACTAGATTCTAAGATGAGCACCTGTGTGATGAGTTGCCACACTAAGCGGGTTGCCTGTGTGCTCACTCATTTATATGAGGACAGAGCTGGGAGCCATTTCTAGTCTGTCAGGTTTGCTGTTAAGTTCCTATAAATTAAAGATGGATGACTGTCTTAGTTAGGGTTTGTATTGCCAAGACAAAACACCGTGTCCCAAGCAACTTGTGGAGGAAATAGTTTACTTAGTGTACTCTTCCTCATGACTGTTCATCACTGAAGGCAGTTGGAACAGGGACTCAGACAGGGCAGGAACCTGGAGGCAGGATCTGATGTGGAGGGCATGGAGGGATACTGCTACTGGATTGCTCCCCATGGCTTGCTCAGCCTGCTTTTTGGAACACAGGACCAGCAGCCCAGGGATGGCCCCACCCATACAATGGGCTGGACCTTCTCACATCAATCACTATCAAGAAAATGCCCTGCAGGTTTCCCGACAGCCTGATCTTATGGAGGTATTATCTCAATTGAGGCTCCTTCCTCTCCAATAACTCTAACTTGTATCAAGTTGATGTAAAACTAGCCAGCACAATGACAGAACACAGTTTCCCCACAAACCTAAGGTCCAGCCCCTTCCCTAAATACAAAGGAAGGAAATGTGCAATGATAAGAGAAATGAAAACAATGAGTATTGTTGCAGCATGCTGGAAGGCAGAGATACCAAACACTCTGTGTAGGAGCCTGCCGAATCAACTGGCTTAGCACAAAAGAACCCCTTGACCCAAGTCTCCTTCAAAGGAAGATGGAGAAGCTGCAGAATGGCTCAGGGGTTAACACACTCACTGCTCTAGCAGAGGCTGGGTTCATTCCCTGCCACCCATGTACGGTGGCTCAGAAGCACCTGCAATTTTAGTTCTAGGGAGACCCAAACACCTCTTTTGCTCTCTGAGGACAAGGACAACTGTACTCCTGTGCGCACACACACAAGCACATATGCGTGATGAAAAATGAATCTTTTTTAAGATGGATTCACTCTCTGGAGCTTGGTCCTACAGTTAGGCTGTCTTTTTTTACCATCTCATTAGACATATGATTATGCAAACAAATATTAACAACTCAATCCAGCAAAGAAAATTCATTATCCAAGAAAAATCACATGAAAAACACAGTGAGAGTCACCAAATATGACTGTTTGGAAAGACTCCTTCAAGCTTCTGAATAAATTCCAAGGCTGGAGAAATGTCAGATAACTACTCATCACCCCAGGGGGTCCTCTTAGCCTCCTTAGAAGTTGTGGATCCTTGTTTTATGGCAGACATTCCCAAGGATCTAAGTTGTAGCCAGGAAATGACTTTGGTGTCATTATATGAAGCACGGAAAGCGTATTAGATCCCAAATGGGCCTTACAGTGGCCCTCTTTTGACAGTCACCTAAGACAAGCAAAAGTTACTGAACAATTCTCATTTTCAATGGTGAACTCATAGGTCTCGGTGCTAGTTCCTAAGTCAGATATGTATGTGTATGTATGGATGTATGTACGTGCGTATGTGTACACACACACACACACACACACACACACACACGCACGCACACACACTTGCCACTTGCACGGTCATCCTAACAATAAAATTTCAATCACTGAAACTTTCCCTTTAAAGCTAACAAGGCTGTTTATCTCCCCACACGGGTCAGATAACGACTGCACAGTCCATTTGGAATTACCAGAGAGAATAAAAAGTGGAGCAGCCTAGATAAATGAGATCACTGTGGAGTAGCGGCGGAATCCAGGGCAGTCGAGCCTCGCTGCTCTTCCCTCACCTCACCTTGGGGCGAAGCTGCTGGAGGGAATTCGGTTCCCCTGCTTCTTTCTGTGTGGGCAGACAGCGAGTGACCAAGATGGACCCAGAGAGGAAGATGGAAGGATTTAGGAGTTTAACCATGTACGCATCCTTCTTCAGTCAGTTCCCACTCAGAAACCTCCGTGTACGAAAGGAAAAAGCTGCATCGAACCTGCTGGGGGAGAGACTTCGAAGGATCTTGCAGAGTCGCTTTGTGACGCAGCAGGAAGTGGGTTCCGGGTGGTGTTAGAATAACGGTTCTGCTTTTATCTGTTCATACACTAAGGTTCCGTTCTCTGAAATGTGCCTGATGCCCAGGGAAATCTGCAAATCCCTGTGTAGCATGATTAATTAAAAACACAGAGACAGATATTGGGGTTCAAGCTGAGGATCAGAGAAACAAAGCAGCCATGCCACTAGAGAGTTCTTACATCTACCAAGGCTCAGACCAAATTGGGGGGGGGCAGCCCTGTCCTCCGTGTGACTGCAAACTGCAATGCTCTCCACCAAACCTCAGACTTACTGAAACTGCATGAGCTCCTGCCTTATATGCCTTTCTTATGCTGGGATTAAAGGCATGAGCTCTGTTTCTCTTTTAGACTGATTCACTCTCATGTAACCCAGGGTGGTCTGGAACTCAGAGACCCCTCTGCCTCTGTCTCACGAGGACTGGAATTGAAGATGTGGCCACCACTGCCTGTTCTCTATAGCTAACTAGTGGCTTAGGTGTGTGCTTACCTAGTATCTTAGCATGTGTGTGGCTAACTAGTGGCTTAGCTCTGCACACAGATCTTCAGGCAAGCTTTATTTGTTAGATTACAAGCAAGATACCACTACAGCCCTGGACTTAAATCCTTTAATTTCCAGCTATAGCACCCTCTGATTTTCAACATGGTGCTAAGGGGAGAAGACCACCAGCTAAAGCAAACACAGATCTGAGAGCAATAGAGCAGTGCAATGAAGAAACATTTGGAAGATGCAGATGGGGCTCCGGCACAGGCAGGGCACTCTCTCTCTGACCTCACCCTTGCTCCAGCTCTGGCTGCCCAGCAGGATCACCAGTGCATCTCTTTGTGAGGATGAGTTTGATTTAATTCTTAAATTATTATAACAGCAAGATTCAGGACTTGTATGTTATGCAAACAGCTTTTGGACGACCTTTTTTTTTTTTTTTAAATCTCCAGTTCTACAAGAAGCCATATTTCCTGAGAAATGCATTTAGTTACTTTGGGTCACTTGCTGTTAGTAAGAAAGAGAACTTAGACTCGGGTCTGTCTATCTTAGAATCCTATGCTTTTGCAAAGTAGCGTGTGACCTCCTTCCCATCCTGCCCATGGGCCTCTGTCCTAATTAGGTTTCTATTACTGTGATTAAATAATCACAACAATAATAATGATAAAAACACATGACCAAGCTGGGTAGTGGTAGCTCACACCTTTGATCCCAGCACTTAGGCGGCAGAGGCAAATGGATCTCTGTGAGTTCTAAGTCAGCCTGATCTACAGAGAGTTCCAGGACACAGAGAAACTCTATCTCAAAACACCAAGACCAAAACAAACAAACATGGCGGAAAGCTTCTCAGAGGAAATGGTTTGGGCTTACACATCCAGATCATACTCCATCGCCAAGGGCAGCCAAGGCAGGAACTCAAGAAAGGCAGAAACGGGAGGCAGAGACTTGGAAGAACGCTGCTGACTGGCTTACTCTCTATAGCTTGCTCAGCTCGCTTTCTTTTATGGCCCAGAACCACCCACCCAGGGTTGCCCATGGTAGGCTTCCTTCACCAAGCATGAATAGAGGCATCTTCTCATTCGCAGCTCATTCTTCCCTGATGGCCCTGACTTGCCTGCATTGATGTTAAAGTAACCAGCACAGCTCCTATAGCTTAGTCCTCTTAAAGTCACTCCCTCTGGCCCATCCCCAGGAGCTCTGCCAGAGCACATTTCTCAATTCCATCACCAGCTTAATTCACCCAGGGTCTTCACTTCACTCTGCTTCCATCCTCGCCCCCTAACTCCCTGTCACAGTGAGAGACCCTTTTGTACAAGGAATTGCAGGCACAGATGTAGTTTCAGGGGATACAGTCCAGCATGGCAGCGTGCAAAGACCTCCAAGAAAGTAAAGTTTAAGTAGATATTTAAATAAAATACAGTCCAGAGTCAATAGCCTTGTCTAGAAGAATGGTGTTTCTTTTCTTTATTTCCAGGACAGATTTTCTCTGAGTAACAGCCCTAGCTGTCCTGGAACTTATTCTGTAGACTAGGCTGGCCTTGCACTCACAGAGATCTTCCTATCTCTGCTTCCCGAATGCTGTGATTAAAGGCATGCACCACCACTACCCGACAAGAATAGTGTTTCTTGCAAAGGAACAGCAAAATGCAAAGATGCTGGAAATATTGCTATTGGTGCAGAGTGAGGGAGTTAGGGAGTGTGTGCCAGATCATGTAGGGGCCTATAGACAATAAAAGACTTGGAGTTTTGTCTTCAGGCCGACAACTGCACCTGGCCAGCTTTGGGTGTGCTCTAATTTGATTTGTAAAATGATCTACCTGAAGATCACACTAGTAATCTCAGTCCTTGGAGGTAAAGGCATGAGGATCAGGAGCTCTGGGTCGTCTTGGCTACATACCAAGGCCATCCTGAGCTACATTAAACCCAGTCTCAGAAAGGGGGGGTATGGGCTGCATATGAGAGGCAAGGAAGAGAAAGGAATTAACACTGTCTCCTGTGTCTTTACTCTGAAGCCGCTGGTTGCTAACCCCAGTGAGAAGACTTGGAAAGGATCTAGAACAGGGGTTTGGGTCCTGCTGAGTATGGAGTGTGCATTAGACTTCAATTGGAGGTGGTGGGTAGGCAGGTGCTCTAGTCTGGCTGTCAGAAGAAGCATCTTTGGTCGCCGACAGAGAGATGGGGCAGAGCAGGAGCCTGGAAAGGTCATCCATAGAGAGATGAGCATGGAGGCTCCAGGAGAGCCAGCATCCAACCTAAGATAAGAATGAAAGACCCAGCAGAGGAGACTGAGAGAGGGAGCCTGATGAAACAGGAGACCACTCATGAGAGTTTGACATCCCGGAAGACAAGGAAGTGGTTTAATATAAATCCCATTAGAGTATCCATGGTTTATCTTTATTAACTGATAAAATGATTGTAAGCCATGCCAGAGAAGTCTAATGTACGCCTGGGATAATGGACCATTCTACCACATCCTTTCCTTTTTAGCAATTGAATGGATATGGTGCTTTTATGATCTTGAAAAGGGAAAACTAAATTATTCTTACTTGAAAAAAGAAAAGCTCCTTGCATATGTAGGCATCCTGTCTTCTACTGTATAAGCCTCCATTTGATCCTGGCACACTTCTCTCAGACACCTTCTTGGCATTCTTTTAAAAAATGGTAAAAATGCAGAATATTCTTGAACTAAATTTTGTCTAATAAATTTTGGGTTTCAGATGCATGGATTGAATCCATCTTTGTTTTTGAAATAAGGTATGCTATATAATCTGGAAACTGCTCTATGACAACCATAGTTTTTGTTTTGAATGAATGAATTTATTAAGGGTACCGCAAGCCCAATAAAAAGATAAATAATAACAGCAAAACATCATCAAATTGAACAGGCAAAATATTCAGCAGCTGTCATAGTTCCAGAAAGAGCCATGAAGAATGCAGGAAAAGACATCATTGGTCTTTCCCAGCTCTGGACCTTGTATCCTACAATATCAACCTGCCAGGCAAGATGTGCTCATTGGAGCTGTAGGGGCATGACATTTATGGTGTAATTAATTGGATTTGAAGCCTGCTTCACAAGGAAGAATTACGTGTCTAGTACTGTAATCCTTGTCAAAAAAAACCATAGACGAAGAAGTCATAGGCTCTAGGGCAGAACATGTTATTGTTATTTTGCTAAATGGTTGTGCTGGCAAATGATTTTCAAATGATTTTCGAAATATTCATGTTTACACCAATAGACCAGGATTACTCTCACTCTTGATCAGGGAATTCTCTTTGCAGTGAGCAATAGTCTGTGGAGAGCCTCAAGTGCCTGGAAATAATAAACTGAGTGTTCAATCCTAAATGCAACACCTAAATCAGCCCCTCCCACTGAGGTTCAGGGAGCAACACAGGAAAGTGTGTAGAAGGAATGTAAAAGTCGGTGGAAGAGAGGGCATCTCTTCTGGACATGACAAGGCAATTGCACTCACAAACTCATAGCAGCTGCAGCTGCCTGCACAAGACCTGCATAAGATCAAGCCAGCCAAAACTCTATCATAGCTGGGGTAAATTGATCTCCAGAGCACTCCCCCCCCCCACTCCTTACCAAGGAGCTATTGGCAGCTGATAGTTGCTGGTGAAGGAAAAATCATTCTTTTTGGAGGACATGATAACCGGTAGGAACCCCATGCTTCAGTGGATGACCTGACACTCATGCACATATGAGAAGCTCTAACTGGAATTAGGTTACCAGAAAAAAAGAAACAGGAAAACAAGATAGAAAGACATGAAATTGAGAGGGGATGTGTTGAGAGGGGCACATAGAGGAGTTGGAGGGGGAAATGTGAATTTCATATTTCATTATTTATGCCTATGCAATTCTCAAGAATAAAGAAAAAATTTTAACCCAGAAGAAGTCAACTAGGGAGGCCCCTTAAAGGCTAGTAGATGTTCCCAATAGAGTCCCATCCCCTCAGGTGAAGCTTCCAAGCAAAAGAACAAGTAGAAGCAAAAGGTGGCATCATCAAACTGGGGGTTTACAAACATCCAGCAGAAACCAACTGAGGTAGTGTCCTTAAAGCGGCCAGCTGGGTACCCCCATCAAGAGTGGGCAGCAGAGCAGGCATCTTCTTTCTAAACAGCAACAAGTAGAGAGGACAACATGGAATCTGGTGCTCCAACACCCAGCAAAGCCTACCAGCTGGAATTGAGCTTTTCCCCATGCAGAGTCCCTGGCTTTTTTTCTTCTGGTGCTGGCCCTTTTGCATCATGAGATAAACAACAGGGTAGTTGGTTGGAAACAGTTCACCTTCTAGCTGTTCTCAAGGATACAAAGTTTTATTTTGTTTTGTTTTCTTGGGTTATTCTGTTCTCTTCCCTGCCTGTCACAGAGTCGGGAGCCAGCTCATCCCCCAGATAAGGGGCCTTGGAGGACACCTTGGACAAACAGGCTTGCTTCTGAAATAGGGAGG